GGCCAGCCAGTCAGCAGGGACCGGGTGGGGATCGGCTCCCAGTGAAGGCCAAACCGGGGGCTACATGGAGGCCAGCAACCTCCCTCCAACCCCCACCGCCTCCAATCCTGCACCCCGACTCACTGGCCTGGAGGTGCCTGGCTTCGTTCCCAGCACCGAAGCCATGGGACTCTGCGCGTGGATGTTCCCTGCCCGGGCACCCTTTTTGTATCACTACTGTAGGGTGGGGCGGGGGACCCCCACTCGGCCCCTCAACACTAATTACAGGACAGTTATTTAATTGTGTGTCTGTCTCGTCTCTGCTCCGTGGGCTGGGCCTGAGCCTAGCTGGCCAGTCACCTGCCTCAGCTTTTGTGGGGCCCAGCCTGCTGCCTGTGGAAGTGGGGGTTGGGCAGGGAAGGAGGAGAACAGGCAGGGGGTGATATCTCATCCGCCTCCCGGAGCAGTGGTGGTGTCTCAACCCCCTGCTCTGTCAGTGCCCATGGGACACTTCTCTCCTGCAGTCGAGGCTGTTCCTGAAGAGCAGGGCGCTGTACCGGGGCTGTGAGACCTACGAGGGTGGGCTCCTGCCCCACTTTGATAGCCAAACAGACTGGAGCCAGGTCACCAGTGGCCTCATTATGGATGCCATGCAGGCTGGATTGCATCCCTTTGTGCCTGGGGGGGCTGGCCTTCCTTGTGCCTTTCCCTGGGGCTCGCGACTGGCAGTCACCCCTCATGGCCCATCTCCTGCTTGAAGGGCCCAGTCCTGCCAGCCCCCATGGGACTGCAGCCTCCACACCTGCATGTGGGGGAGGGGAGTCAAGGGCTTAGGAGCCAGAATAGAAATAAATGCGGCCTGCGCCTATTGGGCCACTTTACGATCTCCGTTCCCCCACAGTCAAGCTGGAGTCACCCACTCACTGCAGCTCTGCAGCAGAGTTGGCTTCTGTAGGGCCCTCTGTGCTAGCCAGCAGCCCATATGGGAGTGAGCCGGCCGCCCAGGGGTTGAGCCTGCTTGCCAGCCATGATGCGGTGTAAACAAGCAAGGCCGATGCATGCCCCCAGTCACTCCCCATGACCCCTGGGCGTTCCTTGCCAAACTGTGTCCTTCTTAACCCTCTTATATTTGGCAAAGGAAGCCCTCCAAGCCTGCATGGAGCTTTGCCAATCCCAGGGCTTTGAAAGTAGTGGGTTGGGTTGGTCCCCCGAATCACAGGATTGGCTCACAGTTCATGCAGTTGAAAACCTGCAATTCTTGTGTATGCTGGTTTTGAGCCTTTAGAGGTCACATTCTGAAGCTTTTGGCTGTGTCTAGACTGGCCAGTTTTTCTGGAAAAT